GTACTGTGAAAGCTACCAGCCAGCGAGCATTAGTGGGGCAGGTGCCCACCTTCCACTCGGCAGTGCAAGACAGCTCACTTCGCCCAAGCACTTCTTGGTGACTGTGTGCCAGCAGGGCCAGGCTAGGGAAGCAGGGAGGGAGCAGACCCCCTGGGGCTCCCAGCCTGGAGACGACTGCTAGGGACCCAGAGGGAGTGCCCTAATTCAACCTGTGGGGATTAAAAAACCTTCCCAGAAAGAGATATCTCTGATGTGGTGAATATGAATAAAAGGCCCTTAATAGTATTTATGGCTGGACCTGGGGGGCATGGGTGGGGCCTGGAGGAGATGTAGCGGAAAAGGCCCTGCAGGGGTTTCCAAGTAGGTGTGACCTTCTTGGACCCTGACCGGAAAGAAGTGGCATCCTACCCAAGTCCTTCTGACAGTCCCTGTTTTTCTTTGCGTGTCCTCAAATGTCCGATTACCGTGGACTTGAGCCATCAGCACGGTCCAGAACTACCCGCTTGGGCGCCCCCACCCGGGGGTGAGTGGGAACGCCTTGCGGGCGGCGGAGACTTAATTTCCCGGCAGCCCTTGCTGCCTCACAGCCCCGACGTGTTGTTGGCATTTCCGGTCACATGCATTGCTGCCGTTGCCCAATCTACTTAGGGGGTGAGAGTAGCAGCCGCTCGGTCCAGACTCCATTTCCCGGTGTCCCTCGCGGTGCAGCGGGGTGTTACGGGGGTTGTAGTCCGGCCGCTCTTCGGGCTGGTCCAGCTACTTCGACCGGCAGGATGTCGGAGGTGCGGCTGCCACCGCTACGCGCCCTGGACGACTTCGTTCTGGGGTCCGCGCGTCTGGCGGCTCCGGATCCTTACGACCGGCAGCGATGGTGCCACCGCGTCATCAACAACCTCCTCTACTACCAAACCAACTACCTTCTGTGCTTCAGCTTCGCACTCGCTCTGGCCGGGTGAGGGAGGGAGGGAGATACCGGTTGGCTAGGGACGCCTGCAGGGCAAGAAGGGTGGACCCGCGGTATTTTGAGGAACGGGAGGGAGATGCAAGGCTGGAAGGGGGAGTTCATTAGAAACGGAAAGCCTACGGGACAGGTGAGGGGGGACTTGAAGGAAGTCAACATGGTTAAAAGGAGTGCCTTGGGTGAGATAGGGCCTGAGGGGGATAGAGGGTTGAGAGGATGGAGAAATGTGGGACTGGAGGGAAACTGGGTATCGAGGTGGACCTAAAGATAAAAAGGGTCTGAAAGTAGGGGTAGGGGAGACGGATGTGAGTGATGCCCCCAGATTAAGGCAGCCCTGGAGGACTTTGGGCAGATACAGGGACAGGGATGTGGTCAAGTTGAAGGGTTGGGAGGGTGGGCTTGTGGGGGCTCTAGTTTGGAGGAGATCCTGGCTATGATTGGAACGCTCCAGGAGCAGGTACCTCTTGGGGAACTTGAACCAAAAGGGAAGACCCAGGGGTGGAAGGTTTGAGAGCAGAGAAGGATGGAGAACCCCTGGGAACTTGGGCAGGGTTGGAAGTTAAGAGTGGTACTGAAAGCCTGAAGGGGTTCTTGCAATGATGGAGAGAGGGATCTGTAAGAAGTGGGGAGTGGATGGGGAATCTGAGGGGAGGAAGTCTGGAAGGGTGTCTTTCTTGTAAGGACTCTGGGCCCGGGGAGAGGGAAATGTATAGAGACATAAGGCCTGGAAGAGGAATCTACAGGCCTAGCTCCAAGGGTGGATTTAGGGGCGGGTTGGGGTGGGGCCTGAGGGGTTGGAGACGGGCCCTGCGGGGGTAGGGTTGGAACGAAAGAGCTGGGAGCCTGGAGGCCTAGCGGGATGGGAAGGCCTGAAGCGGAAGAGCTAAGGAAGATGGGACTGTAGGATCGACACCAAAGAAACGAGGGTCCACAGGGCTCCTGGGAGTCAGAAATCCTGGAGGGTGGACCTATTGGGAGACAGGGCTGGGGGAAGTTATTTGTTGGGCTGGAGGATCCGGAGAGAGGAGAACCAAAGCTCCTGGGGTCCGGGATTGAATGGACGGTGGTCCAGGAGGCTTGGAGGCTGGGCAGCTCTCTCCCCGTCTGCTGGACTAGCTTAGTTCCATTGTCCTCACAGGTACGTGCGCCCGCTGCATACCCTCCTAAGCGCGCTGGTAGTGACGGTGGCCCTTGGCGTGCTGGTGTGGGCGGCAGAGACTCAAGCAGCCGTGCGCCGCTGCCGCCGCAGCCACCCGGCCGCCTGCCTGGCCGCAGTGCTTGCCTTCGGCCTCCTTGTTCTCTGGGCCGCGGGCAGCGCTTGCACCTTCCTGCTAGGCGTCGCCGGACCTGTGCTTCGTGAGTATTCACTACCCTGAGACCGCCGAGAAAACGGCCAGCGCTTGCGCACAGTGGCAGCCCTGCCCTGCCCTAAGAAGAGGCCGAGAAACCAGGCGGGCACTTGGCCACACCCCCTTCACAAAGCGCCTTCCCTGGCTTTGCCTTCCTTCTTCTGGGAACGCCCCTCTTTAACTACCGCCTTTTCTGGCTTCCCTGTTGGTATTAAGTGTCTTCCACCAGCCACGTCCCAGTTGCTGGGCGCCCTCCCTGGCCACGCCCCAGCTGCAAAACTCTGTACTCAGCCACACTTTAAGATCAGAGGCATCCTGGCCACTTAAGACTCTGTTGGCCTGCCTGTGCTCCAATTCCCCTCCGTGGTCCCCCCACTGGCTAAAGCTGATGTCTCACCCCACTGACCCCACTCCTCTCGGCACTGCCCACAGTGATTCTGGTGCACGCCTCACTGCGCCTGCGGAACCTCAAGAACAAGATTGAGAACAAGATTGAGAGTATTGGTCTCAAGCGGACGCCAATGGGGCTGCTACTGGAGGCGCTGGGACAAGAGCAGGAGGCTGGATCGTAGGGGTCTAGGATTTGTACCCAAGACCTGGAGAATGCCACCCCCACCCTGGCCCTGTACTGGGACCCAGAGCCCTTTCCAAGCCCTTGAAATAGAGGGCCCCGTCCAGTTCAGAAAGCAGGACATCTGTGACCCTCCCCCTGATCAGCTCCCATTACCTAGGGGACCAGACTCTTCTTCAGCCCTGAACTTGAGGGCTTGGATACCTGAGCATCCATGGCCATCCTCAAACCCTGGACCCAGTGATACTCCCCCACCTCCAGTCTGGGACCCACCCATCTCCCACCCTCAGCACCAAAGGTGGGATCTGGGCCCAAGGCATTCTCTTGAACCCTGGACTAAGGCTTTTCTAGACCCCCACCCCAGCTTTGAACCCAGATCAGGGCATTGCCAAATCTTGAACCCAGGACCCAAGTGTTCCCAGCCCCCATCAGGACAGAGGATTCAGGCATCCTGACCCTGTCGAACCCTTGGTTCCAGGTGACCCGAACCCTCTCCAGTCCCACTTGCCTCTCTCCAGCTCTGCTTAGTGATTCTGCTCCTCTCTCCAACATCCCACAGTGATGAGGACCAAGGGGTGGGGTGGGGGTAGCCCTGACCTGGAATGGGGCATCTGTATCAGTGTTACAGCAACAATAAAGACTGTTGCATCTCTCAAGCTGATTTGGGCCTCCTGGGTAAAGTCTGCATTTCAATGGCCAGAAGTGGCCTTCTGCTTTTTGATCCTGCTAGACTCTTTCTGACTAGGTCTTTTTGTGTCAAATACATGGACTGAAGGGGTGAGCTCTCAGTTCCTCCCTCGAACCTGTTATCTCTGGCGTGGCATTAACACACAAGGTAGTTAAGGGCAGGGTGTTTCCTATCATTTGTATTACTGAGGACTCTTGTTCAGGGCAGGCCAGCAATCTGAGTGCAGACAGGAAGACATGTGACCCCACATCACAGCAAGAAAAGCCAAAGTAGATGGTATTATCATGGGCTGTTTCCAGTGTTCTATTTCTTATCACATGGAGTCATAAAAATATATTATCTGGTCTTAACTACAGGTGTGGGCCCCCAAGGCAAGGCAGACAGAGGAGTAACACATGGGTTCAGTTTACACATTTATTATAGAAATCCCCTTCCAGTGTGGGTAGTGTCTTGGGCCAGGTCTATTGGTAGAAAAAGAAAAGTTTAACACCAGGTAAAGGAGGTAGGGGGACCCCCAGCTCCAGAAAGTCACAGATAGGTATCATAGAAAACACAGCTTGTATAGATTTAAAAAGTGGTGGATGGAACGAAAGCCAAGGAAGACGTGACGTAGCCTGTGGCCAGACGTCACCTGAGGATTTTACTGGCATCCACCAGATGCCAGATTCCACCATCGCAGCATCCCAGGACACAACACACCCGATGGCTCTGCCCTCTGGCCCCTCCTGCAGGGCTTCCTGACTGGGGATAGATAGGGCAGAGGCTGCCACAAAACGCTGGGCCATCTAGTCCTGTGGGCAGAGGCAGCGGGCACAGACAGGCAGACAGGGACTGGGGCTCCTTCCGGCACCCCTGGGGGCAGGAAAATGAACCCAAGCCCCCTACCCAGACTTCAGTCTTTCCAATTGCAGGCAGAGAGCCCACCTCCCCAATAACTGCCCTGGTGGGGGGGTGGCAGGGGGTTCTGTTCACACCAGAGTCTCCTGGCTGCCCCAAACAGGGCCCTGAGACCCTATATGATCCGTTTTGTGGAGGGGGTTCCTGAATGGAACAGGCTGGGCATGGGGACAGGAATGAGCCCAACCAGGACGAGATCACAGTTTCCCTTTTATAAAACGTCTAGCGTTGGGGGAAGACAGCGAATATCTAAATCACAATTGTAAACAGAAATGGAAGAAGGGGCTTGGAGTCCCCATTACACCATCCTCCCTCTTTTACGCTGGCTGAGGGCCCCAGTTCCCAGCACAGTGTGAGAGGGGAAACAGGGTGTCAGACACCTTCGTGGGTCCACAAGGTGCCAGGGGCCTTGGAAGATCAGGTTCGGCACCCCCCAGGACTGAGAGCAACCACACCCCAGGGTTCAGCGAGGTCAGTTGTGTGCTCCCCAGACTAAAGCCATGCCCAGGCCAACAAGGAGCATATCAGAAGGGGTCAGACCAGTGTCCCCGGGGTCTGGGGGTCAGAACTGGAGGACTGCTCCCCCTCTAGCGTCAGGTCACTTAAACGAGCGCTCAGCTCCGGAGCGTACAGGAAGTCCGCGTAGTATCTTTAGAAGGGGTAGCAGGAATCCAGACAGGGTGGCAAGATAGAGGAGAGAGGAAAAGACAAACAAGACACAGAAAGAGAGGAAAAGAAGCTCGTTAAAGAGGCGGAGGCAGACACAGGAGAGTACGTCTGGGCTTGCAAGCATGGGGAGCACGGCAAAAAGGAAGAAGAGAAAAACGAGGGGCCCGGGAGGCCCTTCCTCCCAGCACCCTGCTTTCAAGGCTCATTTTCAGCTGACATGCACTGTTTTGTTCCAATATTACAATTCTTCTATGGCTTGGTGGAAAATTGCTGCTGCCAGGGCCCAAGACACCCCTCTCCACCAAGCCCCCGCGGACTCATGCAGGTTAGGCAGGGCCTGATGACCCTGTGCTGAGGCCGCAGCTAGTTCTCTCGTGGTCTGAGTCATTAGCTACCATGACTGGCTGCTCCCCAGCCTGGACACCTTTGCCATCTGCCTCCAGAGACCCCTACCCATCAGTAAAAGCACCCCCCATACCTGCCGGAGACAGGGGGTGCCGTGAAACTCCTCGAGTGCGGGAGCGGCGCCTGGCTGGGGGCCCCATACAGCGCCTGGCCCACCTCATAGCAGCGGGCATGGAGGAAGGGTGGGTGTTGCGGGCCCATGTGGGGGGGAACAGGCCGGCGCTGGGGCCCGGCGGCCAGTCCCGAGTTGCGGATGTACCAGTCCCGCAGCCCCTCCAGGGCAAGGTTCTTATGACCACTGCGCTCACCAGCCGGAGGGATACGGGTGGGCGGGGGCATCCACAGCAGAGGGTTGGGATGCACCTCTGGACCCTCGGTGGCCTCCAGGGGCAGGCCACAGGGCTTGGTGCGGGTAGCACGGGTGTGGGGATCCTTGCTGCGGAGGAGGGGGCTGCTGCCGTCAGCTACATATACAGGTGGTGGACCTGGAAGCATGGTGAGGAGCCCATCCCGGCGGGAGAGGGGTCCCGGGACCTCAGCCGCAGGCAGCAGCTCCCCCCAGCCTGCCCCACCACCACTGCGGGGCAGGCCCCGGTCCAGGGAATAGTCCAAGAGGAAGTCCCCACACACAGGTGGGAGCCGGGGGGCCCCTCGGGAGGCAGGGGCAGCTGAGCTAGGCCGGGCAGCCCGGGGAGGGTCTGGGGGGCCAGATGTGCGGGAGGAGAAGGCAGGGGTTGGTTGGGGGCGCTCATACAGCACCTCACTGCTCTTGCAGACCGGGGGGCCAGTGGCAGGGGGAGCCAGAGGCGCCGGCGGAGAGCCAGCTCCCCCGCCAGCCGCCCGGTCCACAAGCAGGGCTTCAGAGCTGTTGCTGCGGCGGGTGCGGGCTGCAAAGAGGGAGGCACGGTCGGAGGCCGGGTCCGCCCGGGGGAAGCCCATCTGGGAGTCCTGGCTGCCGGACCACTGGCGAGAATGGAGGCCTTCGGGTCTGGGAACGCAGAGGTGGGGGTGACAAGAGTAGGGTCAGAAATATCAGGCCAAGTGCCCACCGTACTTCAACCCTTCCTGAGCCTTCAACTTGCACCAAAGGGACCCAGGATTAGGAACCATGAGTATAAAGGTGTTAGGTAGTGGTGTGTAAAAGACAGCAGAGGTTCTGTCTGACGCTGGGGGGTGGAGGGACTGAAGACATATGGGGGGTATCAGCGCCAACGCCAAGGGAGATGCCTGTGGCAGGGGCAGGGGAGTGCTGGAGAGGAAGTACTAGCAGAGGAAGGCCAGCAGAGGGCTCCTCCCAACACATGTGACCCTCAGCCCTACTACCACGTGTCTCATAGCCCCCCACCGCCTCCACGATGGGGTGCTGATCCTTGGGTCCGGAATTCAACTTCCTGAACTCTGTCCCCCCCATGTGTATGAACCACCCGAAACTATCATCCCAACAGCCACCGGTCACAGGATACAAGTGCCATAAGGACCCGGACTTTGTTTTGTTCACAGCCTTGGAGAAGCAGGCACTTGGCAAGTATTTAAGAAGCACAAGGGTACAGTGTTTAAAAGCACAGACTCTAGAGTCAGACTTGCCTGGGTTCAAACACCAGGTCTTCAGTTTACTAACAAGTCACTTAACCTCTCTGTGCCTCAGTTTCCTTATCTGTAAAATGGGATCAGCAATAGCACCTATTGGAAAGCATGGATTCCCAGCAGATGGTAGATGCTCAGTACATGTTAACCAGAACTTACTGTGCCTACAGTGTCTTTCAGAGGCAGGTATTATGCCCACTTCGCAGATGAGGAGCAAAGATTCAAAGAGAAATGACTTAACCAAAATACACCTCTCAAAGCCCAGCCTCTTTGATAATGCTCTCATAGTTAGAACTAACAGTTCCTTCCTCTAGTCCTCGAACCCACCCTCACAGTCCCCTTACTTGCAGAGCTGGGGGCCAGCGCCCCGGGTGAGGACAGGGGTGGCAGGCACACTTCGCCCCTCAAAACTGGAGGCACTCCTGGGCAGCGAGCGTGTGGGGCTAGACAGAGATGGGCAGGCCCAGGTCAGGGGCCAGGTTAGAGACCATACCCACCAGCAGGCCCTCCTGCCAGCCCCAGGCTCAGGATCCTGCTCCTGGTTCCTGGGGGAAGGATGGGGCTCACCCTCACCTGGTGGGGCTGGCCACAGAGTTCCGCCGGCTCTTCAAATCCCCATAAAGATCTGACGGCGGTGGTTTCCATGGGGTTCGCCGCTCAGGGCTGCCCCCCGACACTGTCCGCAGTTGGTCCCAGGCTTTGGGCGGCGAGGGGCGCTCGGCCAGAGGGAAGCAGCTGCGGGGCTCCTCTGAGAGGAAGGCAGAAAGTGGGGGAGAAGTCAATGAGAGGGGGCCAGATGGGTTGCAGGCAAAGCAAAGGGCAGGAGCCAGGGAGACAGGCAGTGGCAGCGGGCTGGGCAGGGGCTAATACATGGGGCTGGAACTGGGGCTGATGAGCTGGGCAAGGTGACGCAAGAAAGACAGGGGCCCCATGAGAGGATGGGGCATGGCTGAGATGGGGATGAAGGGGGGGGTGCTGAGCATCAAAGGATGGATGGGTCTGTGGGGGGACAGAGGTCCTCACCATTATCATGGCTGGCTCCAGACTCTGACAGGGAGCTGCTCTCGGAGTGCAGAACTACGTCCTCTATAGGTGAGAAGGGGGAGACCCAGGCCTATCAATACAAGGCCTGGGTGCCATCCCCTTACACCACTGGATGGTCTCCTCCCTGCCCTGTTCCTTCCCAATAACCCACCTTCACCTGAGTCCAAGACCACCTGAGGCTCGGCTCCTCGTTTTCCTGGTGCCATGTGGTCTAGTTCCCAGTGGCCCCACCCATGCTGTGGAGCCAGTTCATCACAACTCCTCTTACAAGTCAGGTCCCTTAAGATCCACCTCGCTTCTACTTTTCACTATTTACCCACCCCACCCCTACCGTGTCCCTCAGCCGATGCCACGCTCTGCTTTCACCATGGGGGCCGGGGGCAATGGGGCCTGGCTCACCTTGGCTGAGCTGAGCGAGGCGCGTGCCCAGGCAGACTCCTTGGGCCGTGATAACTGCCCCTGTGGACAGGGGTAGGGGCTGCGGCGGTGGGAGCACCGGGAGGCCAAGGCGGGCCCGGAGGTCCCCAAGCTGTTCCTCCAGCTCGTGCAGCCTCCGCAGCGCGTCTGCCTGGACCTGGCGCCGGCGCCGGCGCTGCTCGATGCTCAGCTCAGGGGCCAAGGCCAGGCGGCGGGCGGCGGCCGCAATCTGCTGCTGCACAGACACCTCACGCTCCAGCGCCTCAAGAGCCAGCTCCTGTGGGACCCACCCATAAGGGTGGGACAGGACCAAATGTTGGAAATGGCCGAGCACAGGGACCACTGCGGGCACAGCCTGTCTCCACTTGAGGTGGGGGAGGGGGGCGGTGCTATTCTAGGGTGGAGCTCATTTCTTCTGCAGGCAGAGCCTGTCTCGATTAAGAGACTAGACATATTCATTTTCCTGAGGGTGAGAGGCTTATCACGGACGAGGACCAGCATCCTCCCTCAGAGCCAGAACCCACCTCCCTCAAGTCATTCCCTCCTCACCTCAGCCTCTCCCTCCCCTGGATGCAACCCCAGCCCTGCCTGGCTTCCTCTAGGCTCCTCTTCCTCTGCACCCGTCCCACCCCCATCTTGCTCTCCAAGCCCATCTGTTCACCTCAGCAGGGCACAAGGAGTGGTGTGCTGGGTTGGGGTGCAGCGGAGGGTAGGCTCGGGCCGCAGGGGGCCGCCGGCGGACCAACTGGGGCCGTTCACCAGGCTCCAGCGGGCACTCGGGGGGCAGCTGGCCAGTCAGCTCCTGGTGGGGGCAGGGGTCAGAGACTACCAAGGGTTAGCTGGGGGAATGGGGCAAAGCAATAACGACTCCTGAAGCTACAGGTGTCCTACTAAGAGCGCAGTGATGCTGAGCACGCCATGCCTATTACTTCTCTCCCCCTTCCCAATTCTCCACCAGACAGGTATGCTGTGTGCTCTCAGCCCCTTGGTGGCCCAAATCCCTGGGGCAGTGGGCATGGGAGGTAGGGGGACCTGCTTTGGAATCCAGAATTTCTTATTTTTTGTAAACGTGACACAGTCTACATACTGCATGATACGTAACACCCCCCTCAGGGCCTGGGGCTGCATGCTCTGAACCACACGATCATTTCTGGCAAACCGTGTAGACGTTCACACCAAGAGGAATAAATCAAAACTAAAACTCACCCCTTGTCAGTTCAGGTCGGGTTTTACTGCCAGATTTTGGAAATAGCCATTATTTTTGAGGCATTTTGGATTTCAAATTGCTGATAGGGAACTGCAGGCCTGCACTGCCATATTTTACCGATTTGAAGATGTCTAAGTTGAGCTTTGAGAAGCTACAAGGTGACAGGGAATCTACAGCTCAGACAGGTGGCTCAGCACCTACCTAGTGGCCCCGTCTCCTCACCGCCGCCCCACCCACCAGGCACTCTTAGGGCCAGGCTCTCACCGCCTCCTGGAGACACACTTTGCGGAGCTCCTGAAGTTTCAGGCTCAGGGCCTCCTGTAGGGCCCGCTGCCGGTCGAGCAGCCCCCGCAGACGCTCTGACTTCATCTGGGGGACAGCTTCTCCAAACAGGGCAGCTGGACACAGAAGGAGCAAAGTTCAGAGCAAAGATCAGCCAGGGCACCCTGGCACAGCTGTGGGGCCAGGGACCAACCCTTTCCAAGTAGGCAGGTGGTGACTCAGAGCAGGGGAAGAGGCAGAAAAGGGGAACAAGCCAGCTACCTGAGGCATTGAAGGTGGGAGAGCTGATCAGCTGACCTTTGACTTCCATCCTGGTGCTGTCGAGAGGCCGTGGCTGATGGCTGGACAAGGCCTGGCAGTAACGCACAGGGGCCATTAAGGAAGTGTATTCTGTGTTCCCCCAGCCCCTGCCCCTACCCAACTTCCCACACCCCAGCTGGGAAGAAGGGGGACCCTGACCCCACCCGCCTGATTGACCTGCCCTCTCAGAAATCTGTGTCAGTGTCCGGACCCACTTGGCCCTGGTACCTTGGTTCCCTTCCCATTGAGTGGGAGCACAGCAAGCGGGGAGCTGGGCGGACTTACGACGCCTCCTCAGAGGTCCATGGGCCACAGTCAGGAGTCTTGCCTGGGAAGGGAGAGTTAAAGGTACAGATTCAGCCAACTATAACAACAGTGGGCATTTATTGAGCACCTGGGTGCCTGGAACAGTTACCTTCCATGCCACATTTAATCTTTACAACCACCCTGTGATGGCAGTTCTGTGATTATTGCTCCCATTTTAGAGATGAAGACAGTAAGTCACAGAGGGGTGAAATAACATCCACGGTTAAGGATGTAGCAGCCTAGGCCCACCCCTCTGGCCCGACTCTCCCTCACTGGAGCTGTTCTAACTCCACTAATTCGTCATAAGCTCCCAGTCCAGTGAGCCTCAGGGCCTTTGCTCAGGCTGTGGCTGTCTGGAGTGCTCTTTTCATGTCTTGCCTCTCTGGCCCCTGGCTCTCACATTCTAGGGCTTAAATGTCACTTCCAGAGGTGGATCCCTACATTATGTCCCCTCATAACTGCTGTCCAGCAAGAGACTGAGCCTCCTTTACATATCTGTGAAGACAAGAAACATATCTGTCCTGGTTTTTTTTGGTATCTCTGGCACTCAGAACACTTCTGAGCATGTAGCAAGTACTCAATGAATGTCTGTTGCATAAATGAAAGAATGCCAAAGTAGCCAAGCTAGGGATCTAGCCCAGATCTGTGGGTCTCTATTTGTCCCAACTCCATCTTGTGGCCTTGATGCAGCAGGGGAGTGTTTCCTTAGCCCCAGGACCCCCCAGCCCCTCTCCCCACCCCAACCTGTCCTGTACCCAGCACAGAGAAGATGCCCTGCAGGAACTGTGATCAGAAGAGTCCATAGCTGCAGATAACAAGCCTCCTGCCTCCTGCTTCCTTCTCTGCTCCCAGACACCCTGGCTGACCACAGAACCTGCCTTGGCTGGCTGCCAGCCCTGCCCTCATCCCCTCCTCTGGAGTTTGCTCCTTCCCTCCCACATCCTGCTTGGTCCCCAGCTGGGTAGCCAGGTGACATCACCTCCCACCACCTGGCCTGACCTCAGCGGCAGGCAACTGGGAGGGCCTCATGAGGCCACAGACATCCCATACCCACCTAATCCCCAGCTTTTCATGACATGGTAGCCAGCTGTGGAGAAGACCCAGGCAACCAAGGAGGTGTGGGTTCAAGCTCCTTCCCCATCTGTACGCTGGGGGATGTGGTCGACTGGCTAATATGGTGCCACTAGTTTCTTGGCAGTCCTCCTACCGGCCCCATAGAATCTGTATGCCCTCCACAAAACAGTGGTCCTCTGTCCTCAGCCTCAGGGACAGGGATCAGTCTCTCAAGCTTTTTGCACACCCAGGCAGCAACGCGTACTTTGCAGAGAGGTACTCAAATGCCCGGCCTCCAAGGTCCGACACTGCCCAGCACAGTGTGGTTTCCTTGAGGTCCCAGCTCAGCTTCCTCTGTCCCTAAGCTCCTGGGGCTCCTTCTTCCCCAAGCCCCATTTGAGTTTGAGGAACTCTCCCAGGGCTCCCCTAATCCTTCCCCCACATCCCACACTGGGCTTCCTTAAGCCTGCTTTCCCTGAGAGCTCACTGCACCCTAGATCAACGGGGTCCAGACAGGAACCCCGACTCCACCCTGTAAGCCTGACCTTGGGGACATAGCTCAGGCCTGAGTCACGGGGTCACTGGGTAGGGAGACACAGGGTCAACGCCCCACACCCCCACACCCGGCTCCCAAACCTCTGCCTCCACTTGCCTCCCCTCTGCACATTTGCCTAGGGGTCCGGAACTCCCCTAGCCCCACCTGGAGATGGTGAAAAGGGGGATTCCAGCAGTCCCCTTCCCTAACGTCCCCCACACCACACCCCACACCAGCTCCTAAGTCCCGTCCCAGGAAGGGCTACAGCAGGAGAGCTGCAGAAGGTACCCCCCATACACACCCAGAGGCGGGCCCAGCAGGTTTTTCAGGTCTGCCCTTCTGACACCACAGCCGAGAAAGAAATTCCTGGCCTTAATGACTGTTTACAACCAAGACACCTCACCTGGGTGGCACCCCAACACCCTCAGTGGGACCCCCATTTCCATATCTTGTCCCAATCAGAGCACAAACTCCCAGTGTCTGGAACTGTTCCCCACACTGCCCTGGAGGCCCCCCTGCCCCCACTCTGGGTGAACAGGCTGGGGGCAGGCAGGTGCCAGGAAGTAGTTTCTCAACAGCCCAGTCTGGGCTTTGCTGGGGAGGCCAGGCCCCAGGTTGCAGGAGGGCAGATGCTCCTTCCCAGGGCAGGGGAAAGGGGGAGAGGAAGTAGGGAGGACAGTGGAGAAGGGGGACTCTGGCTTCTCTTCTCCCCCAACCCTTCCCCTTGTTCATTTCCGGCAAGGAATCGGCTTCGTGCCAGCAAAGGAAATTGGGCATTTTGGGCTTTGCTCTTCCACTCGGGCCCTCCTTCTTCGCTGTACCTCTTGCACAGACTTGGCTTTCTCCCACAGGGGGCCTCAGTACACCCTAGACCCTTCTTCCCCTACCCTGCCCCTGGGCCCCCTGTTCCCAGGTGCTCACCAACGCCAGAGAGGTGCTGTGGGGTGGCCTCAAGTACCTCGATAAAATAGTTGTCTCAACCAGGCCCTGTTCCAGCTGGTAGTGGCAGTGAGCAGTGAGCCAGTGGCAGATGCCTAGGCCGCCTCCCACTAGGCAATAGCCCAGCCTACCTGGCCAGGGACTGGGCCAGCCCACACCTCTTAACCCTTGCCTGCCTGTCACCAGGGCTCAGGACACCCTTAGGGGCAGTGTCAGGGCTAGGGCCCTTCAAGGCGTTCAGCGTGGCCAAGAAGAGAGCCCAGACAGCCCTGCTCTCCCCAGTCACCTAGCAGAGAACCAAGAAAGAAGGGCTAAGGGTAGTGGGAGCGGGGCTGCCCCTGGTGCTACCCAGGTTCCCACGTCAGACCCTGCCCACCCAAGGGTATTTATGACCTTGGAGCTGGGGGACGGAGTTCTGGGGCGTTGTTAAGCACACAGGAGGCCTCAGGTGTATGTAAATCTGGCGTGTCTCTTGGCAGCGAGCACCACATTCCTGAGGCCCCTACCCTTTCCTCCCAGGGCAAGGCTGGGGTGGGATAAGGTCTTGGGACATCCGCCACCCTCACTGGGGTAACAGTTTCCCAAGCTGGGGACAGAGGAGGTCAACTTTTCCCAGGAAAAACCGGGTCTCAAGACCCGACCACCTTCTGCACCTCCGGAAGAAATCATCCCAGCAAACTGACAAAACACACGTTTTCACCCATCCTGGTCGCTACGAACCTGGGAGAATGACGCAGACCCACCTCTTCATAGCCAGCTTGCCGATGAGGAAGCTGGGGCTTGGACAGGTGAAGAGGTCTGATTCTGATCACAGAGGCGTTAAGAGCGGGTGGACTCAGAACTCAGGGGGCCGGGTCCTGGGTTGGAGGCAGACAGAGGCTATTCCTGCAAGGGAGGAGGAGTGGGGAGGGGGCTCATGCTTCTTCACATCCAGGCTGGCTCTCCCCCACTCCTCCCCCGTGGGCATTTCTGGCCAGGAGTCAAGGAAATTGAGGGCTCTGGCCTGCCCCGGCACATACCACACATCCTGTGCTCCATTTGGGACCATCTGCTCTGTGACCTCAGGGCCCAAGCCCAACCCGGGCCCCTGCAGCAGCCCATGCTGTGATGTGAAAGAGCAGAGTGAGGAAACCTCCCTCCCCACTTGGCAGGTGGGCCAAGCCTGGAGGGGAGCTCTGTATCAGCAACAACGCCCTGCCCCACACACATGCTATTGAGGCCTCCCATCACCCTGCCCACCTTTTTTCCTGGGGGTGAGATTTCCGGCAAGGGACACAAAGGCCCCTTTCATCCACCCCCCTTTCTCCCTGCTTCACTGTTTAGGGCTGGTGGAGGCAGCAGCCATAAGGTAGGTGGCTGGGTGTTGACGGGGAGTGTCCCCTCAGCTGTGGCCTCTCCTGCCTCTTGGTGGACACCAAGAATGTTGGGAAGAAGGACAGTTCTAAAACCAGAGCTGAGAGGGACAAGGGTATCTAGCTGGCAATGTAGAATGAATAGCAAGGCCTAGGTTTCCTCATCTGTAAAATGGGTAAACAATGGTTACATAGCCAACAAAGCCAGAGTCACTTTGGAAGGTATTTCAAAGTACAAGGAAACTCACATCACGTCATTAATGACAGTTGATAACAACAAGAATAAACTCATGCAGAGGTGCCCTGGTGCAGGAGTAAGGAGGGGAAAGCAGGTAACTGGCCCTCTTGGGCCAGGCAGACAGGCGGGGCAGAATCACCCGCACACATCGTTGCCCTGGTCCACGACTTCTAACAGCCTGGAAGATGGCCAACCTCTAGGCCCTACCCCAGCCAGGACCTGAACCTCATGTGGCCTCATGTAGGGGTAGCAAGTGGTAACTCTGGGATTCAACCCTGCTCTGCCACTTATGTCTGTGTGACTGCTTGGACAAGTCACTTATCCTCTCTGTGCCTCAATGTCCTCATGTGTAAAATGGGGATCATAACAACAGTATGGACTTCACAGGATTGTTGTGAGCATGACTTGAATTAATACACTTAAAACTTGCTTAGGACAGTAACTGGCCCTTGGTAAGTGTTTGATGTGTGTTGGCTGCCACAATTAAATTTTTTTCAATGTTTATTTACTCTTGAGAGAGAGAGAGAGAGAAAGCACAGGAAAGGGGCAGAGAGAGACACAGAATCCGAAGCAGGCTCCAGGCTCAGAGCTATCAGCACAGAGCCCAACACGGGACTTGA